TCTGATTCAAGCCAAAGATACTCCAGTCAATGCTTGCTCACAAATAGCTGAAACCAAAAAAATATTATTTAAATAAATAAATAAATAAAAGTATATAAAAAAAGAAACAGTGTAAAAGGTGCTTACGGGTTTATTCCTGCCTTGACTGCTGAAGCGTACCATTTGGTCCGCTCCACGACATCTCCATAGTCTTCCAGTGCTTTATGCACTGCAGGCAAACCACCATTCTTGTATATAAAAGGGCCAGCAGCATAAAAAACATTTTCTAATTGTTTATTGCCAAGAATCGCCTGTATTTCTCTGTTCGGCACTTCCATAAAGTCTCCTATAAGTTGGCATTTAACTCCTCTGCAGTTACTTTTGATTTTGTCCAACTTGATCTTTTTCAGTTCTTCCAATGAAAATTTATTACCTTGCTCATCATAAATCACACCTTCTTCTATCTCCTCTTCATCATCTCTCCAGTATTTCCTGCTGATAAACCAACTCGCTGCACCAACTAATGCTGCAGCTGCAGCGACGATTATACCAGTTTTACCACTTATTGAAAACATTATTTGACAATATCAAAAATATTTCAAATAACACCGACAATCATCACCATAGAAACGACAAGTAAAAATACGAATTAAAAGTAATTTATTAACGTTTGGTTTTCCCACAACATGCCTCGATATGTATTTTCACCCATTATTTTTACTTTGCTTTATGTTTTTTAGGTTGATGTTTTATTTTTTTTATAACAACGTTTTATCTAATAAACTTTACAATTTTTACTTCATGATTTCGTTTTCATGTAGGTTTTTTCCAATTACAATTTTTATTTTATTTCATTCCTTTGAAATGTGACGTTTTCTGTACCTGTAGGCCTTTTCCTGCACAGTTGCGATTTTAACTTATTCTTTTGTATTTGATGTTTTATGTTGCTTTTTTTGTTAGACTTCTAGTCTTTTTTTTTACATATATATTTTCATACTTTGTTCATGTTTATTCTATTTTCAGTTTTGTGAAGTGTGTTGCTTTTTATTCGCTTTTTACTGACTTTCGATTTTATATTTTTTAATAAGAATCTTTAATATTTATCCACGAGTTTGTTTGCATTTTGATCTTTACTTTTTTCTGTTTTGCTGTTTGTGAAGGCTTAAAGAGTTTTTTAAAACTTAACACTTTTTTTACTCTCCAGATTTATACTGTATTTTCTTTTTTGATAGGTCTGATGGTAGATTTTTTCTTGTTATACATACTTTTTTAAATACTTTGTTATGTTTCTTAAGTCTCTTGATTCATTTTTTATAGCATAAAGTTTTGCTAATGTCACTCATTTTGAACGTGCGAAAAATGTTAATTACAACACAACTGAATATTATCCTGTTAAATACTGTAAGAAAATAATTTTAAATTAGTGATTAATTTGTATGTCAAATATTATTTAGGTACATTTAAAACAGGAGGTAAATTCATTTATTTACTATTTTTAATTTATAATTTCTCAAACCAATCTAGTTCCCTCCCTTTGTTAAAACAGTGTAATACTGTCGTATTTAAATTTAAATTCAAATTATGGTTTTTTTTCACTTAGATGGTCCTTAAATTCAGAAGATTTGTTCGATTTAGGCAAGTGTTGTTTAACTCTTGTTTTAATATCTACACTGCTTTGTCCTATATATTTAATATCGCAATCATTACTATTAAGTCGGTAAAATTCGCTTTTTGACAAGTAGTCAACTTTGTCGTTTTGAGAAGATGTTTCTAAGTGTACATGACCTCTAAAACCTTCTCATTTATGAATTTTACCTTTTTTCTCATAGTTCCTCAATGTATAGCAAGCATGATGATGATGATTCATGTTTGGTGGGGTGGTTCAATCCGTTGTCGCTTCTTTTAAAGTTAATTTTTTTATTCCTTTTATTAGCTATCAATAAATATATATAAAGTGGAAGGTTTATGGGCCGACAAACAGCTGAGGTCATCGCCGCCCCTCCGCGTCTATTCCTTCTCTTTCCCGTCTTTCTCGCGTATTTTGTATTGAACTGCAGCCATTTGAGCATCTCGATCTGGTTACTGATTCTCTGCTTTTACTTGTATATTACGTCGTTATTTTAAAATGCTAGCCTCTTGTTAGTACCTCAGGTTGTCAATTTAAGAATAGATACACAACATACAATACATAACATATAGATCGCCACGAACATAGAAGTCTGGTCATATTCACTCCCCCAGAGTACTCGATATTCCTCGGGGCCGGGCCGAACCTACTCCATTCGCGCTAATAACTTACTTTTGCTCCCCAGACATCACACACTCACCCCAGAGTACTCGATATTCCTCGGGGCGGGGTAAATAACCCCTTCCTTTCATGCTTAAATTACATTCATTCCAACAGAGTAAAATATAAACAACATACAATACTAACATAAAAGTCTGGTCATATTCACTCCCCCAAAGTACTCGATATTCCTCGGGGCGGGGCCGAACCCACTCCATTCGCGCTAATAACTTACTTTTACTCCCCAGACATCACACACTCACCCCAGAGTACTCATTCCTCGGGGCGGGATAAATAACCACTTCCTTTCACGATAATAAATTACATTCATCCTAATATATTAACATAAACACTACACAAACACTTCAGACACAACACAAGCATAGCACAAACACAGATAAACTATATACATTTGAAAATCCCTATAGCCCTGAGGTACCGGTACAGCGATTTGTGCAGACCACGCACAGGTCCGATGATATTCCAAAATATTGTCTATAAACGTAGAGCCTTCTACAATTGAAAAGGTGCTCGACTGTTACTCTATCCTTGCATAATGTTTTTGTTTTTTTCGATTTCATGTGTAAATTAAATATATGGGGCGTGGGTGAAAGCTATTAAATATATCTAATGTAATTTGAATTTGATCTGTGGGAACTGCTGTCAATATATCATCTACGTATTTAGTGAGGAAGGGTAATGTGAAACGTCCGTGTCACGACTCACGGCAATCACGTGTGTTTCATTTTTCATCTCGACTTATCGTTCGAATAAGAGTTACGGAACAATGTTTAACACACATCTGAAAAAAGTAAAAATTAATAATAAATAAATAGAATCAAATAAAGAGTGAAAAAGGTAGAGATGCTGCTGCCAGACAGGATCGGACGCCTTGGATACGTGTAGAAAGACTCCCCGGTAATACTGCTTCGTCATTAGGGATGTTGCGATGACCTTTTTTTCGATTTATCCAAATTGAAGCCTCGGTTTAGTCGAGAATTGCGAAATGCGGTCGCTTTCCTGCTAGAAGGTGCCCGTGCGTAAATCTTGTGTGACCTATGCATAGTCTTGTCAGTATGACCTTTTCCCGTTTTGACCAATTTCCCGTGAACCAGGGACCGACGTCCTTTCTTAACCTGCCACAGTTTGGCAGGGTTATTCCTATTTTTCCAAGCCCAGCGGTTTTTCCATTCTCTTTTATCGTATTTGACATTAATAACCTGAGATCCGCTGGGCGTATTGGTTGAGAAGCTTCGTGAGGTCCTCTGGTTGCTTCTTTGGCCGCCCTGTCTGCAGATAAATAATTCACGATATTCGTTGTTTTTAGCCAAAGGCCATTTGTAATTCTTTTGTATAATTAGCAGGTGTTAATGGGAGTTAGAACATATGATCTATGAGCCCAATGAATCAAGCAGCTTTTTGGGTCCATGGGTGAGAAGAATCTGTTGGTATCATGGTGTCTGTAGTTTGGGATTTTCTATATATTTCAATTAGGTTATTTATTATGTAGTTTTAAGTCTAAAAAGAGTAAACATCTTTATTTATTTCCAATGTAAAAGTTATACTAAGATGTTAAGAATTAATTAATTGGACGAATGAATCCTGTTAGATCTTCTAGCGTTCCCTACCTCGATCCACTCGGACACCAACCGCACCTTTTGAATTTTCCCTCCTGCGGTTGAGATGGGAAGTTGGTGTCCGAGTGGATCGAGGTCACGATAGCTCAAGTGGTAGAGCAGCAACATATCAAGCCAAAGATCGTGGGTTCGAATCCCGCTCGTGCCATTGACTTTTTTATCTCAACTAAAAACCTTAATTAATTTAATATATTAATTGGTCAATCGGACCACGAAATTAGTGAATTTAATAATTTTTTATTTGATTTAAATAAAACAAAATTTCAAAGTGATCCGTTAATGTTTCGGCATGAAGTGGGGATAATAGAGACTCCATTGGTAACCCTTTCATTTCATAAAATTTATTGCATTTACAAAAATTAGATAATAGCCTTATATTTAAGAAGTCTATAACATCATTTTTATCATTATCATTAGTAAGTCCATAAGTTTTGTTTAGTACATTCTTTTACGAGGTTATTTATAAATAAATTAGTAACATCAAATAACACTAGAAACATAGATGTTAGGTATATTTATGTTCTTTAACTGTTCTATCAATTTTTAAAACTTGTTAATACTGAATATTGGTAAGAAATTAGTGGTTGATACGTACATTCGGTATTAACAATTGTTTAGAATTTAGGTTCAACCTTATGATGAGTTTTTCAATTAATCATTATTTTTATGTAAGGTCTTGGTTTAGATGGAAAAGTTAGTGTCGCGAGCTGGATTCGAACCTACGACTTTCGGCTCAACACGCCGCTGCTCACGATTGCTTAAGTGGTTAGTGCAGGGGCGTGTTGAGCCATAGGTCGTGGGTTCGAATCCAACTCGTTACACTAAATTTTTCACCTCAACCAAGACTTTACATCAAAAGAATAATTAATTTAAATAATTAATATGGTCAATTAGACGAATAAACGTAAATGAATTAACTTGTGATGAGCGTTTAATGCTCGAAATCCGGAGCATTGAAAACAATAAACTGTGAGTAAGAACTATCTTTCAAAGCAGTTGAAGAACATACTCAACCCGACTTTTATAATTTTTTATGAATTTTGGAAGGTTCATTTGTAAGAAATCTCAAATTAACGTTGCTGTTCGGTATGTTTCAGATGACGATAGAGCTGAGGTGAAGGGGGTCCTGACGGATGACGGTATTTTCGACGGTTCCATACACACGGCATCTGAAACCTACTACGTGGAACCTGTGAGTAGGTATTTGGAACCGGGTCAGAGCGGTCCCGGGTACAAAAGCGTCGTGTACCGTCACCGCGACGTCGTCCAGCCGAAATCGAGCACATGCGCCTCGGCCGCTTTGGCCCAGAGGATGCGGCGGAGTGCCGACGAAGGGCCGCAGACGGGCGGCGTCTTCTACTTCGACAGCGAGGCTTACGAGATCAGGAGAGCCAACAGGACTGACATCATCGTGAAGAGGACCCGACAGCCCGAGGGAAAACCGCAGCCGAAAGTGCTCCTCGGGACCGGGCACGAGGACAACCTCCTTTTTGACGATGACTTCAGGGCCCATGTGCACAAAAGGGCGGCGGTCGACCCTAAAAAGACAACCTGCATGCTCTACCTCCAAGCTGACCACCTCTTCTTCCAAAAATACGGCACTGAAGAAGCATGCATCGAAGTGATGACACGCCACGTCCAGAGGGTCAATTCTATCTACAAAACAACAGGTAAACCATACATTGTATTTTTTCATTTAGGACCCAAAACAAAAAGTATTTCTCTGACATAACCGTACTCCCTTGTAATATTTTACTTTTATACTTTCTTAGCTTTCGCTAAACTTTATAATTGTAACAAAGTTATAAAGGTTCTCATGGAAAACCACTTCCTTTTGCGCATAAAACAACATATGTAATTCAAAGGCCGTTAAAAGTTAGATGGCAAACTATAAAATCGAACAGAATAAAGCATAAAAATTTAATATTTCTGACGCTTCACTCTCATAAAATCAATAAGTGAGCACCAGCGGTCATTTATCATAAAGCGTAAATGCAAAATATACGACAGTATAACTTATTAATTTTACAAATTCCCCTTGTTTCATTTATTCAAGGATTTTAAAAATAGCCGTATTCCAGCAACAGCAATTCAAGGAAACAATTTTAAATAATGTTATTTACTTTAAATTCACTAATTTCGTGGTCCGCTTGATCAATTAATATATTACAATTAATTAAGGTTTTTAGTTGAGAAAAAAAGTCAATGGCACCAGCAGGATTCGAACCCACGATCTTCGGCTAGATACGTCGCTGCTCTACCACTTGAGCTATCGTGACCTAGCTCCACTAAGAATCCATTCAGAATTCATTTGTCGTCGAGAATCCACTCCGATTACACGACATTTGAAAAATGGTAAAAAGGAGGGAAAATTCAAAAGGCGGGGTTGAGATGGGAAGTTAGTGTCCGAGTGGTCGAGGTCACGATAGCTCAAGTGGTAGAGCAGCGGCGTATCTAGCCGAAGATCGTGGGTTCGAATCCCGCTCGTGCCATTGACTTTTTTATCTCAATTAAAAACCTTAATTAATTGTTATTTACTTTATTATACCCATAGCATATGGAAGAATTCAAAGATAAAGAAAAAAATTAGCTGATGTTGATATTCTGGCACGCTCTTCGTGCTTCCAGAGGGGAAAGTGTATACATTAATGTTATATTTTTCATATTTGCTTAGTGGTCATAATTAACCATGTTAAGTATTCCAAGTAATTATTTTTTTAATCTAAGGTTTTTGGTTAAGATCAAAAATTAGGGTCAGCTTGATTCGAACCCACAATCATCGGCTAGCCGAATTCGAATCCCGCTCGTGACACTAACTGTTCATCTCAACCAAAAACCTTAGAATAAAAAAAAAAATTAATTGGAGTTACATTTTTTAACGAATTGCTGTTTATGCATTAGTACCTTATATGGATTACATAACCGTAAAATTACAAAAATGTGATCTACTCTTGGCTACATTTGCGGTTTTGGGTTGTAATCTTGGCTGTTTTTTAAATTTTTCTTTGAGTATTATTTTTTAAAATTAGAGTAGTCTGAGATTTTTTTTAAATTATATTCTTATATCAGAGATCTTCCACTGGGCGTCCCTTTTGTGGCCTAGTGCATTGCCCTAAATAGTTCTGCAGACTTGTGAGAGAGAGGAAGATATAGACAAAGTGAATGAGAGGTAGACAGTCCAAAAAATAGAGAACATCATGTTAAGTCTCAAATCAAAATATTTCGTGTATAAGAAAGATGGAGAGAGGGAGGGAGAAAGAGAGAGAGAGATCCAGACAGACAGACAAACTAACAAAGATTGAGCGGAGTGAGAGAGAGAAACAGTGAGATTGTGTTACAATAAAAAACCATTGATATGTAAAGATCAGAGAGATAAATGTAGAAGAAAAAGAATGAGATAGAGAGAGAGTGAGAGAGGGCGGGAGAGAGAGAGAGAGAGATTCAGACAGACAGACAAACTAACAAAGATTGAGAGAAGTGAGAGAGAGAATGTGAGAGATTGTGTTTCAATAAAAAAACTATTGAAATGTAAAGACCAGAGAGATAAATTTAGAAGAAATAGAATTAGCGAGAGAGAGAGAGAGAGAGAGAGAGAGAGAGAGAGAGAGAGTCAACCGCCTAGATCATGTCTAAAAACGCTACCAGACAATACTTTTTTCTTTTCCCAAACGAATATATGGCATCTAAAATTTTAAGCCCTGTTGTACATCATATTTCCACTTATTATCAACATTTACCATTTTTATTGGAAATCCTAGACCGACACTTCCTAAACCGTACATGTCTACATTGATTCCTAGTAAATTACACTCGACCGTATCCACGGCATACAACATACAACAGTGTCATCGCGATGTAGACGTCATCTGTTACTTTTTCCATGTAGGGTAGTACAGTTCCGTGGCAATTCTCAACGTGACTACTTCGATCTGTGTCTGACAACACAGCTCGCAGCTTAAGAATCATTTAATCTCGGTACATAAAATATGTTTATTCTGCTTTATGTTTGGACTAGGAAAAAGTACTGATATAGATAACATAGCAGTGGCACACGTCGACATTTCATATATACACATCAGACATCCCTACACATCCTGACACTATTCATTACTGGGTTTCTCCCTTCCCTCATACCGTCAAATTCTCACTGAAGATGACGCAAACACGTGTGAGTAGTTGAACAGACCCTCCTTCGAACCCAATAAGTAGCCCAATACCGGCTCGCATGAGTCACCGACTATCAGACCAACACCCAGCATCAGTTCATCAATTTTCCCTGAAACTAACATCTACGTCTCAATTGAATTGAATAATGGCTCATAAAAGGAATTAAACTGAAAAAGGAAAAATCAATAAATATGACTTTCACCTTCCTCCGACAAACCTGCCCTCTCATCTACCTCAAAAACATGGTACTAATATGCAACTTAAGAAACAAAAACTGATGATGTTTGGCACTTACAGGTCTCATAGAAAAAGGTAAAATATATCAAACCATAAAGCTCGCGAACTTTCAGGTCCTGCCAAGTATTACAATAAACAAATTCAAACATCACAATCACAAAACACTTATGTATCCGATAAAAGCACCCACAATGACGATAATACTCCTTTCCTAGGTGACAAAATTGTATCCTGGTTCTGCAAATCAAATAGTCAATTTTAACCCATCCTACCGACATCTCTCATCTCTCTGAATACCTTTAAAACCCAAAAAGATCCAAGATTAATTGTAAAAAATATGAAAGTTAATTGTAAGTACAGTAATCCCTTAACAGTCCGATTTATTCGCGGGAAAAAACCAGATGCGTAAACAATTTTATTTTCGTATCGAAAATAATTCGTTAAAAAAATGGATTGGAGGATCAAATTGATTCTCAGAAAACTTTTGCCTGCTTTCAACACACTTTTCCTTCTTTCTTCTCAGTTTGTTTTATTCTCTCGTCGAAGTTGGTGTCGCAAAATGCCTCCTCCACCAAAACGGCAAAAAAGCCGTCCTGACCGTTGCTGAAAGAATTAAAATTTTGGACATGTTACATTTTTATGCAGGCCAAAGCTTTTCTACAAAACAGCTCAGGAAATTTTAACTTTGAGGTATTAATTTATTTAAAAAACAATGGATTTCGACCGATCTTTAAATGGAAGTTTTAATTTTAAAAGGATGTCGAGGTCGCTTCAATCTTTATGTGGAATACTTAAGTAAATTAATTATTCGGCGAAACAGCGAACTTTCCTTGCATATCAAAAAATACAAACAATGAAAACAATTAAAACGTTCAAACATGTTTTCTATTACGTTTATTTTATATAAACTTTTTTTTAGTTCTAAATTGTATCTCAATTTTTGGCTTCATGGAACGTAACCCTCCTTATAACATAGGAAAATATTAAATTCACTATTTTCGTGGTCCGCTTGGCCAATTGATACTTTACAATTAATTAAGGTTTTCATCTCAACTAAAAACCTTAATTAATTGTATAGGAAAATATACTCAACGTTCACGGATTTAACATTCACGGCAGTTTTCTGGAACTAAACACCCGCGAATGTTAAGGTATGACTGTTCAATATTATGTGTTAATTACTTCATTCAATTAATTAATCGTTTTATGTATGATTTTTGGTTGAAATGAAAAAATTAGTGCCAGGAGCGGGATTCGAACCCACGACCTTGCTCTACCACATCAGCCACTTGTCCTGATAGCTCAAGTGGTAGAGCAGCGGTCGTGGGTTCGAATCCCGCTCGTGACACGAACTTTTTCATTTCAACCAAAAAACTTACATAAAAATATTAATTAATTATTTGGAATGTCACCAATTTTAAGAAACCTCAAATGTACGTTTTATGTTAGGTAATGCAGTGTCCATCCTTAGTAGGATTTTGGATATTTTCACGAAAATGTGCGATCGATTTGAATAATGGAGAGTTTGATTTCTTCGGAATTATTTCTTGTTAATATCGCCGAGTTCGATGTCCTTGGGAGTTGATGATTGTTCCGGGCCGATTATTCCTGGGGGGAGGGATTCTCCGGGAAAATCAAAACAGGCCTGAAATAATCGTTCTTCTGCAAATATTTCCCGAGTGCGACTCGGACAATTTGACGGAGATTGCAGCCCGCCATGAGCCCCGGGGGGTAAGTGAATCCCTTTGATAGGAGGACGCCCGGAATTACATTAACGGCTCGGTTTAATGCTCCGGCTTAAAATCCCATCAGGCGCGTCTTCTTTTATCAGGAAGCGGCTAAGCCCCGGGCCCCATTTACTGTTAAAACACTGATTATATTTCCCCGGGAGCCAATAGATTCTACCCCGAGTTAAATAACTCTCACCCTTTACGGTTTTACAACTGATTCTAATGCAATTTGTCTAAAAGGTTGTCAGGATTATTCGAATTAGTCGCTCGAGAAATTGCATTAAAACGAAGTGACAATTCCGATAAAGGAATAAAAAAACCTTTAAACGTGGTTTATGACTGTCCTGTTAAAAGCGTTCAACGTTCAGCGTCATTGAATAACCAGAAACGACTGACAGAAATCAAATCAACAAACGATCAAACACGAAACTGAACAAATCGTACAATTACATTAAGTAACAAATAAACAACTCAACTTTAATTTTATAATTATGATCCAACTCCAATCTACAATCTCAAATTCCTCATTAACAACA